TGTTTCATTTTAACCCTGATTAATATGTGTATCTGAATATTTGCTGTCAGAACAAAAGCTGTTTCTCCAAAACAGTAACTTTCTTAACTTTAATGGAGGTTAAAGGTTCTATTGGTCCATTGATCATAATGTTTTGCCACACTGTAAACGGCCATATGTACTTTCAAATTTAGTAAAAAAATGCAAAATGACAAAAATGGAGATACAGGTTTTGTTCTGACAGTGATGTGTAGTGAATGTGTAATCGGTCATATGAGGCATTCCAGTTTATTAGCCGCAGTGAGAGCGGTTCAGTTTTATGAATGTGAATTAAATTTAGCACCACAGGGATGTTCTGATCTAAAGGCTTAAACTTAAACACTTTTATTTTCCAGAGTAGCTCTGCGCCTCTGGAACTCTCTCCCTTCTCATATTCAGCCGTCTCATTCTCTGTCCCCATTTAAATCCAAGCTTCAGACACATCTGTTCTGTCTGCATACAATCTTCCTCTCATCTGTGCTGTGAATATGTATGTCTGTCTCTGCTGTGTCGTGTGTTTGTATGTTGTTATTTATTTGTTTCTTGTGCCACTAATTTGTAATTTTAAGTGTTTTTGGATTCTAGAAAAGCGCTATACAAATGTCATGTATTATTGTAATATAGAAGTGTAGATAGTAAAGTTGATGCATTTGTATGAATTTGTTTCCAAAACAGGTTTGTACCAGTAGGGTTGGTCTGGCAGTGCACTTACAGTAAACTAGCTACTATTTTGGGCATCATTTAGAACACATGATGGCATTTTTCGCTATTTTCACAGTGGTTAAATACCAAATCAGTCAATTACTTGAGAAAATAATCAGCACATTGATCCTTAATGAAAATAGTCTGTAGTTCTGTACAAGATAGTCCAAAAGAGCTCCACCTCAACCAGCTACAGCAGTGAAATCCTGCTTTGAGATGATTATGATGCCTAGAAAATCTCAGACAGTTGCGACCTGTTACTGTATGACCGTTACAGAAGCACAGTGAGATTAGAGCTGTGAGCTGGTCTCAGTTTACACAAACAGTATGAATTATGACATCACGTCTCACTGTGTTATAATGATGATGATGATGATGATGATGATGATGTGTGTGTGTGTGTGTCCAGTGCTGCAGGCTGTAGTGGGGTGAAGGACGCTGGCAGCAGTGTTAATGGCAGTAGTGACGTAAATGCGGGTGTTGTGGCCCCGCCCCTTCGCCTTGTGAGTGGAGCTCTCCTGCTGCACTGCTATCTGCAGGGTTTATGGGCGGGGCATAGCTCAGGTGAGCTTTAACAGTCAGCACAAGCACAGCACAGCCATGAGGTTACGGTCAGCAGGTGTGTAAAGTGGAGCTGTCGGTGTTTCAGGTAGAGACGCTCAGGTGACGGCAGAGCGACTGCAGAGCTGCTCACTGCAAGGTACTCGAAACTCATCACCTCACACACATGATCTATCATAATCTGTCATAATCTATCATAATCTGTCATAATCTATCATAATCTATCATAATCTGACGTCACTCAGACAGGAGTTCAGACTAACCGCAGACTGACCCTGTATGACACACTGACGTCTATAAAAATGGACAAAAAGTGATGTTTATTCTGTGTCAGAAACAATATAAACAAGTATTTTAGAGATTATGGAACACTGGTTTGTTAATGTTAATACGGCAAACCTGTGTGAGACCTGTCTGAGACCTGTGTGAGACCTGTGTGAGAACTGTGTGAGAACTGTGTGAGAACTGTGTGAGATCTGTATGAGAACTGTGTGAGATCTGTGTAAAAACTGTGAGACCTGTGCGAGACCTGTGTGAGATCTGTGTCAGAACTGTGTGAGATCTGAGTGAGACCTGTGTGAGATCTGTGTCAGAACTGAGTGAGATGATTTGCCTGTCGGTGTCTCTCAGGCAGGAGGCAGCGTGTCGCCGTGTTGCTGCTGCGGTCAGAGTGGGACTACGTGTCCAGTCTTGGTCAGTTATACGACAAATACAAAACTCCATCTGCAGCAGCCAGCAGCTCAGAGCTACAGTAAGACCAGCACACACTCTTCCGATCACCATCTTCATCATCATCATCATTAATTAATTTTACAGAATCTCTACACTCGTAAAAATGATGGTTCTCCAAGGGTTCTTTAGTATAGAACCAAGAACACTCAAAGAACCCTTTTCATGAGTGGTTTGACGTTCTTTTCTGTGAAGAACACTAAACACCCAAACTCAAATGAAAACAACTGCAAGACATTCCAGCAGCGGCTTTTACAGAGAGCGCAGTGTTAATCCTGAGTCTCGAGACGAAACTAGAGGCTCAAAGAAGGTCTCTGGGTTTTTAGAGCCACAGGGTGAAGGAGGGGCTCACCTGTCTGCTCCTTTACCTTCCCCACTTTTATCAATTTCTGCGTAATTTCAGACCCGTTCATTTATGTTCCTATTGGCTTCCAATATGTCTTAATCAACACATTAACTGGACCATGTCCAGCTCCGTTTGGAGAGATCAGTCGTTTTTCAAACTGTCGGCTCAACTAAAGACCCCTCATTTCCAACAAGTCCCCTAATCTTCCCACCTACCTGACAGAACCGTCTGATGGCAGAGATCTTACACGGCACTCGGCTATTTATCATAGCCTGAAACTCAGAACATACTGAGAAACAAACTCAGAGTCCACTGAGAACCCGAGAGTTCATTCTGCTTAGCAGAACAGTTCTTACAGAACACTTCCACAGATGTGTTGGAGAACGGAGAATGTGTTGTATTGTTCTATATAGCACCAAAAAGGGTTCTGCTGTTGTTACAATGTCAAACTTTTAACAATAGAAGAACCCGTTTTGGAGCTATATAGAACCCTTTTAAAAAGAGGTTCTATACAGAGGTTCTATATAGCCAAAATACTACTACTACTACTAATAATAATACTACTAATACTAGGAATAATAATAATATTAATCCATTTTATTTATGTAGCACATTTTCATGACTGCATCAACTCAAGGTACTTTACAGAAAATAAAACATAAATTCATACAAAAATAAATCTAAACACGTCTAAAAACAAAAGACTAAATAGCTCCACCAAAAATGTTCTGCTATTGTTCTGATGTGAGCTTGTTTACAATAGCAGAACCGTTCTTGCTGTTATATAGAACCATATTGTTGCTGTTGAAATACCTTGTATTTCTATTTTCCATTTTCCACATATCTCCATTTTTCATTTTTTGATAATCGTGATTTGAAAAAGGTAGTTACCCTTTACGTTGTGTAAAAATTTCATGATGAACGGACCAGAAATGGTAAATTACCTCTCCATCTCCACAAAATTCTCCATTTTCTTTCATTCAAAATGGAGAATGATCTCCGTCTCCTGTAAAGTGACCTTTTCGGAGATTTTGAGGTTTTGTGCCAACAGCAGTGATAAACAGCACATTCTCCATCAATCTGAAGGAGCATCTACACATGCAGATGGTTCTTTGAGTGTTCATAGTTCTATACAGAACCTCTGTCTTTACCTAAGAACCCTTGAAGAACCGTGTTTTTGATTGAAGAGTGTGTATTTGTGCTGGAGCTCCAAATGCAGTGTGTTTGTTTTATGTCAGGAAGGCATTTTCGAGGCATGTGGATCAGATGCTGCAGCGTCACCTGCTGTTCAGGAACTGTCTAGAGGAGCGTCTGGCGCTGGACCAGAGGAGCTGGGCTGTGGGAGACGCGTTTCTCAAACTGACCGGGCCGGAGAACGTACGTTTAGAACTGTTTACTGAGTATAAAGAACGTTCAAATAGTGCTAATCAGTAAACACTGTACGCCCAAACGTCTGTGTCCACCTACGCCGTGTGTCCACCTGCTGATCCAGCGTCTCTCCTGAAATGAAGGTGTTAATAGTGAGTCTGTGCTGCAGGAACAGCCTCTACTCTTCTGGGAAGGCTCTACACTGGATGTTGAACACTGCTGTGAGGATTTGATTGAGCATTAGTGAGGTCAGGTGCTGATGTTGAATGGTCAGTTCTGGATCACTAACTCATCCCAAAGGTACTGGATGGAGCTCCATCACTCCAGAGAACACAGTTCCACTGCTCCACAGCCCAATGCTGGGGGGCTTTATACCCCTCCAGCCCACGCCCAACGGCTGGCTCTAGCCTTTTGAAGGCCCTGAGCAGGGTTTTTTGGAGGCACCATCTAGCTGAAAACTACAGGCTGGATTAATCACAGTCTGAGTATCTAAACCTGGATTAATCACAGTCTGAGTATCTAAAGCTGGATCGATCACAGTCTGAGTATCTAAAGCTGGATCGATCACAGTCTGAGTATCTAAACCTGGACTAATCACAGTCTGAGTATCTAAACCTGGACTAATCACAGTCTGAGTATCTAAACCTGGATTAATCACAGTCTGAGTATCTAAACCTGGTGTTAAACACTACAGTCTAATGTAATCAGATTATTGTCCTGTACTGTAGAATAGATGTTACACTAAACTGTGTAGGTTATTTGAGACACTTTGTACTAAAGGTCTTATTTCCTTTCCTTACTGTCCTCATGCTGTTCTTCACCACCGCACACGCTTTTATAACTGTGTGTGTGTGCGTGTGTGTGTGTGCGTGTGTGTGTGTGTGTGTGTGTGTGTGTGTGTGTGTGTGTGTTTCTCTGCAGTCAGCATTCTGTGACGCGTATCTTGGCTACATAGCCGCCCTGGCAACCATCCTGACCACAGAGTTCAGCAGAGAACAGCCGGACAAACCGCAACACACACAGGCAGGAGATCCTTCACACACACAGCAAAGATCACCTGCACTCAGAGTCGGACGGCTGCAGGTGTAGATCGGCCTTCAGACCGACTCTCAGTTTCAGTGGCAGTTTGAAAAGACAGTTTGAGAGCATTAATCAGACAGATCTGATCTGGGGGGTTGAATCAGAGTGCCAGAGTGTCAGTTCCTGCTGAGCTACATTAGCCTCGTAGCTCCAGTGCTAAAGAAAAGAACAAAACTCGCTGGTTGTCTTGGATGATCAGCCACATTTGGGGCGGGAGAGGAAACTTGTGCTGATTTTTCACCAATCAGTGGTTCATTTAGAGAGATTCAGAGCGGTTTGGAGTGAAATGGTTCAGATGTCTTTACAGTGGTGGTGATAGGAACCAGGGGTCGCCATGACTACAACACAGATATAGACATTTTATTTACTATCCAGAACCACCAGTGAACCTACACGAGTCTTCTGAGTCTATATGGAATGTTGATGATGGAAAATAGTGGAAAATCTGAAATAATACGTTTTCTTTGGGGACTATTTTGCCTCACAGCGCCCTGCATGTATCCCTCCACCATGAATGGAGTTTAAGTTCTCTAATCTATCATAAAACAGTGTCTCAGTCATCAGGCAGTGAATTCATAACCATTTACTGTAGGAACTTTCTGTGAGGGAGCTTTTAGAGGTGGACGTCTGGTTCCTATCACCACCACTGTGAACAGTTCTGACTTGGTAAGTTTATCTAGAACAGAGCGTTTCACACCAAACCACTTTGAACCGCTCTGAACCACTCTGAACCGCTCTGAACCTCTCTGAACCGCTCTGAACCTCTCTGAACCAGTCTGTTTACATCTTACCCAGTTAATTATGCAGGAATTTTGTAATATTTTTTGATGATTCACTGGTGTCTGTGATATTTGCTTTGTGATGCTGTGCTACTAGGAGGAGGAGAGAGAGAGCGTCAGACTGCTGTCACTGCTGTTAGCACCTGTGTCACGCTTACACACCTACCTGAACACCATACAGGTGAGTATTAAATGTCCACACCTGCAGAATGACCTGAACGTCCGTCTCCACTGTGGGGTTCATGCAGGTTTTCTGTCTCAGTTCCTGCTGAGCTGCTCGGGCAGTGGACACGCTGACTGGCGTTCGCTGCAGGAGAGTGAACAGGTGCTGCGGGACCTCTGCACACGCTGTCACGTGACCCTGGAGAGGGAGGGGCAATGGGCAGAGGGGGCAGGGCCAGCGAACAGGTGAGTCTTTTTATTTCAACCTTAAAAGAAGCTGCATCCCATTTAGCAGGACCCTCAGCGGTCTGCTCTGATCCTACACACTCACGGTTATGGGAGCTGCAGCTGATAAACCCCGTCGTTCAGAACGTCCTGCAGCGCCGTAATCACACACTCATCTTCAAGAGACCTGCAATGACTGATGGGTAAACTTTCCTGCAGCTTCCTGTGCATCTGAAGTTCCTTCCAATGGAGCAGTTTCACTCTGTGGTTTGGAATCGCCCTTAACATGTCTGACAATGTCTGGATCATTCTCAGCACTGCAGTAACACTGACGTGGTGGTGGTGTGTTAGTGTGTGTTGTGCTGGTCTGAGTGGATCAGACACAGCAGTGCTGCTGGAGTTTTGAAACACCTCAGTGTCGCTGCTGGACTGAGAATAGTCCACCAACCAAAAATATCCAGCCAACAGCGTCCTGTGGGCAGCGGTCTGTGACCACTGATGAAGGACTAGACGATGACCAACACAAACTGTGCAGCAGCAGATGAGCTATCGTCTCTGACTTTACATCTACAAGGTGGACCGACAAGGTAGGAGTGTCTAATAGAGTGGACAGTGAGTGGACACAGTGTTTAAAAACTCCAGCAGCACTGCTGTGTCTGATCCACTCGCACCAGCGCAACACACACTAACACACCACCACCATGTCAGTGTTACTGCAGTGCTGAGAATGACCCACCACCCAAATAGTACCTGCTCTGTGGGGGTCCATGGGGGTCCTGACCACTGAAGAACAGGGTAAAAGGGGGCTAACAAAGTATCAGAGAAACAGATGGACTACAGTCTGTAACTGTAGAACTACAAAGTGCACCTATATAGTAAGTGGAGCTGATAAAATGGACAATGAGCGTAGAAACAAGGAGGTGGTCAGAATGTTATGCCTGACCGGTGTACACCTTATGAATTAGCAGGAAAACTGTAAGCCTAAATTGTTTATAACTATATGTTATAAACTAAAGAAGCGTCAGAAACTGAACTCGTTTTGGCTGATCGACGACATTTAACCATCATATGAACGTTATCATACATTCGCACAACATCTGCATTTAGTCACAACTGCATGTAAAACTGTCTGAGTCTATTTGAGAATGACCTGAATTCTCCTCCCTCATGCAGGTGGTTTATTTCGGTGTGTTTATTTGCAGCCTCGGCTCCAGATTCTGTGCCAGGAGCCCCGGCTGTGGCCGCTCCGCCTTCACCAAATACCGCGCCAAGCCCAGAGCGGGCACTGCCGACTACGCCAGCTCCAGATCAGGCGCTGCCGACCGCTATGCGCCCATCGGTGTGCCCAGCAACGGACATCAGAGAGAGCGCTGCCAGCTCGCTGTGCCACAGCCACTCCTGCCCCCCACTGGCATTTTACGGTACTGCAGTCAAGCTTTGGGAAAGAACTTCACTGTGGAGGAATTCCACACTTTTACTAAGCCAGTTGTGTCAAACCCCGTCCTGGAGATTAGTGTGTTCCTTCTCATAGTTCTCTGAATTCAACTCAGCCGTTAGTGATGAATCAGTTGTGTGAAACTCTGCTGTGCTGTGGCAAAGGTGCAAAATGCAGGGGGTCCTGAGGGGTCTGGGACCCCTAATTAACCTCTTGGATCCCTGAATATCTCAAAATCAAAATTCTGGGGGTCCCTGAAAATTATGACATTATGAAAAAAAGCTGATTGTTTATCTGCTTCCCCCACAATCAGCTTCTGTCTCTGGTGTTCTTAACTAACTAGAGCTGCAGCACTGCTCTGCCTCAGGGTGGCGCTGTAGCAGACTGGTTCACCCAGTTGGTCCTTCATAGCCTGGAAACTGTAACTCTGCCTGGATTCCTCTGAAACACTTTACAATGAGCTGCAGCAGATCTGTAAATCTGAAAACTCGCCCAGTTTCCCAAGAGTTTGGAGTGAAGAGTGACTGTTCCTCATTTCTCACACTGAAGACAGAAGAGGAGACGAGGAAGATCTCAGTTACTGTGAGGAAGAGCGCAGAACCGCACTAGAACAGAGACTCTACAGAAGAGGAGACGAGGAAGATCTCAGTTACTGTGAGGAAGAGCGCAGAACCGCACTAGAACAGAGACTTTACAAACGTCCTGTGGTTTGTGGGCCATTAGCACGTATTAGAGAACATTAACACCCTGATTTTCTACAGCGCTGCTCCTTACTCTGTGAAAAATCTCTCCACTCAGCTTCACTGAAACACTCCGCCACTCAAAGCGTTCAGTAATCGTGTCACAATGAACTAAAATTATTAACAGAATGTGAAGAGATACGTTTTGACGTCTGTGTGTCGTCTTTCAGAGATATCTACTGAAGTTAGCATGCTAACAGCTAGCCCCAGCCAATCCAGACATGTAATACCACTCTGTACCTCAAGTGAGTCACTGTAGCTTCGACTCTGCCGTCAGTCCAACATAAGAGGATGAAGATTTAGCGCTGCCCTGAGGGCGTGTTCTTGTCAATCATGTTGAAAGCCCCGCCCCCGGTTAGACCATTAAAAAGTCTGTTATAAAGGAACAGTAAACAGGATGAAGTTTGATGCTGAACCCGCAAAATTTCTTCTAGACTGGTAAGGAGGGGACGAGTGAAGTGGGAGGAGGGATTGCGCATTTCCTTGTTGGACACCACAGCTTTCTGGTGATATGCTGCCCCCTGTCTTTTAGGAGTGTGGAATATGAATATCATTTTACATATATTGCTCCTGTAAAGGCGCCTCCCTGCTCTGCCTGGCTGCGGCAGTAGCGGGACGCTAAAATTACTAACAACAACAGGCTTTATTGAAATTGAATAACACAACTGATGTTAAGAGTATTAATCTACCATGCAGTTGCTTTATGGCATGTATCACACTCATGGGACGGAGCGGTATCGGAAGGTTCTCGAGGGGTTCTAAAAAGCCTCTCCACTCAGACACTGCACCCTCCAGGACTGTAGTTTGATGCTCCTGCTCTAAGCCAGTAGTTTGATACTCGAATGCTGATCATCTTCATCTCTTTCTCTCCTCAGTAATGCTCGAGAACGAGTGTGTGAGCCGCTGCCTGCTGCCGGTTGGTTGCAGGGCTGCAGCTGGGACTGCCGAGCCGGGGAGTGCCATGCCGTGCCCCTCTGTGTGCCCGCTGCCCGGCGACCACAGCAGCTGCTTCTGAACCCTGGAGCTCCAGCAGTGGCGGGAGACCTCCAGAACCTGAAGTCCCCGTCTGGGCTCGCAGAGCGGCTCTGCGGGTCTCCGGGGCCGGACGGCCGCGTGTGTCGCTCGGACCTTTACTCTCTGCCGCAGCGGATCGACGACGGAGACACGGACGCCGACCTGGGGGACGCCTCTGTGTTCGACTACTCGTCCGTGACGACCTGCAGCCCCGACGACACGCTGGGGATGAGGGGGGGAGCCGAGAGCCGCGAGGACGAGGATGATGAAGAGGACAGCGAGATTCCCGTCCTCCTAAAACCGTCTTACACGCACGGACACTCCGCCGGGTCGACGGCAAACCCTCAGAGGGAGGGCAGCGTGTGTATGCGGTGGCAGATCCCCCGAGGAGCTCCTCTCCCTCCAGAAGTGGGCGCAGAGGGATCGGGAGCAGGAAGCCGCACGAAAACTCTGCACAGGATTCCCGCTGGTGCCTTCCGCCCGATCTGGGATGCCCCCTACAGACAGGTCTGTGACTGTACAGCTTAAAGCGACAGTTTAGGTTCATTTGCACAATTTACCCACTTTGCTTTTTAGTCTTAGCCCTGGAGCTCTGAGGCTGATGTAGGTAATGAAGCAGGTAATAAAACCTTATACCCCACCAATTAGCATGGCGCTAACTGCATGCCTAAATCATCACACTCTCGCCTCAAATCGCGTCGAGCAAAATCAAAAAGACACGTGTTTGATAGTTACTTAGAAAATATGACATCGGACAATTTTGATCAATACTTCAAATCAATGTTTCATTCATTTTGCAGCTCTACGCATATAAATGTTATATTTCTCTGTAATAATATACACTCTTAAAAATGGTTCTTCAACATAAAGAACATGAACACATTCTGCATCAATGTGAAGAACCATTTCACCATGCAGAGAACCATTTAAGGTTCTACATACTTAAAAAGATGGTTCTTCAAGGGTTCTTTAGTAAAGGCAGTGTTTCTGTTTAAAACCATGGCTTCTATATAGAACCATTTAAATGGTTCTTTGCATGGTGAAATGGTTTTTCGGTGTAATATATATGGTTCTATATAGCACCAAAAAGCGTTCTGCTATGGTTACAATGTTAATTTTGTAACAATAAAAGAACCCTTTTTGGTGCTATAAAGAACCACTTTTAAAAAAGTTCTACATAGAACCTTAAACAACACATTCTCCATCAGTCTGAAGAACCAGTTCACCATGCAGAGAACCATTTAAGTTTCTACACACTTAAAAAAGATGGTTCTTCAAAGGTTCTTTCGTAAAGGTAATGCTTCTATTTAGAACCATGAGTTCTATATAGAACAGTTTGCATGCTTAAATGGTTCTTTCACTGTGATACTTATGGTTCTATATAGCACCAAAAAGAGTGCTGCTATTGTTACAAGCTTGACATCATAATAATAGAAGAAAGCTTCTGGGTGCTATATAGAACCCTTTTCAAAAAGGTTCTATACATAAACAACTGTAGCACATTCTGAAGAACCCTTTCAAAATGCAAAGAACCATTTAATCATGTGACTGTTTCTTTGAATGTTCATGGTTCTTTACAGAACCATTTTCTTTAATAAAGAACCCTTGAAGAACCATGTGTTTAAGAGTGTACAGTTACAGCTAAACCTAAATGAAATAATAAAGAAGTGATCTGGTCAGTGGTGGCCCTGTAAGGGGTCCTGTGAGTGGTTCTGTGGTGGTCCTGTGAGTGGTTTTGTGGTGGTCCTGTGAGTGGTCCTGTGGTGGTCCTGTAAGGGGTCCTGTGAGTGGTTCTGTGGTGGTCCTGTGAGTGGTTTTGTGGTGGTCCTGTGGTGGTCCTGTGGTGGTCCTGTAAGGGGTCCTGTGAGTGGTTCTGTGGTGGTCCTGTGAGTGGTCCTGTGGTGGTCCTGTAAGGGGTCCTGTGAGTGGTTCTGTGGTGGTCCTGTGAGTGGTTTTGTGGTGGTCCTGTGGTGGTCCTCTGAGGGGTCTTGTGAGGGGTCCTGTGGTGGTCTCCTTCCATTGATTGATGGGTTACAGGATGTATATATGGCAGAAGTTTCTGACCCGATGCCCGGTGAGTGAGGCAGAGTGTGTCTGTACTGAATCCTCCATCAGCTCAGTGTGGATGAGGAACCTTTAACAGCGTGTGTTTGGTTCTGCAGGCAGATGCGGCTCCTGCTAAGGAGAACACTGTGTCCTTCAGCACAACCAACCAGATAATCAACCCACAACCACAAGCAGAGCCCTCCAGGTAAGAGAGACGGGGACGAGCAGCGAACAGGTGCGACTCCAGTCTGGATTTGGTGTGTCTGTCTGTCGGGGGGTTTATTTGTGTTTTCAAGGATTATTTTATCCAAACGTGGCCTCAGCATGGAAATAATTTATCACCGGCTCACTTCTTCACCAACCTGCCTGGAGAAAATTCACTCAGTGTTTATGGTGTGCAGAGTGAGCTTGAATGTGGCCCAATAAAATGATCATCTTATTTTCCATAAATCATAAAATATTCACTCCAAATACATTTTAATCTAATTAAATCAGCAGTGCTGGAGCAGCCCCACCTCTGACACCACTGAAGCCTGTTTTAAACATGAACTGCACCTAAAATTTTGTGTGGGAGAAACAGAGCCTCAGACTGAGAGAGACAAATATTCTTTTTAGTCAGATCCTGCAGGGGGGGCACCTTAAAATAACTGAATACACTAATTAGAAACACTGTCTGGATTCGCACTTTAGGTGAATCTCCAACTCACCTTTTTCATCCAAAGCTTCGGAGAAGGTTGTCAGCCAGTTACAGACGCATCTGGAATCAAACATGCTGAAGTTTTTCGGTCTGGATACTGAACATTTCTTAGGACTGAAACAGCACCAGTTCTGGTGTTTAATGATCTTTTATAGGCGGCTGATTCTGCTTATTTTACTATATTTGAGTGAAGCCTTTGATACTATCGACCGTGCTGTTCTTGTGCGGTGCGTTCAGGCCGAAGGGATGTCGGGTATTATAGATTCAGTTCGTGTTTGACTGGGTGTAACCTTGGGTTGGCATTCCTCACCTTTATGGTCATTACTTTAGGTGTCCCCCAGGGATCAATACTGGGTCCCATCATATTCCTCACAGATATGCTTTGCCTGGGAAATATTTTTCATAAGAGTAATATTTCTTTTCATTGTTTTACTGATGACACACAAATTTAGGTTCAAACAACCAAATTCACAGCCTGCCTTACCTCAGGCAACTAGAGGATTTACACAGTTAGATGGTGAGAAATTTTCTGCATTTGAGTAAAACTAAATGTGAAGTTACTCTGGTAGGCCGGATTTTTAAGGCTGACAACTTTGCTGTAAATGCTGGTTTGCTGCTGTCGTCATACGTGAGGAATCGTGGGATGTTCAACCCTACGATGTCATATTGCTTCTGTTTGTAAAACCTCTTTTTATCATTTGTGAAATACTGCGAGACTCAGGACTTTCTGACTCTCTGTGATGCTGAGAAGCTGATTCATGCGGTTAGATCTCTGTAATGCCCTCTCGGCTGGACTTCCAAATAAGAGTAAACAGAGATTGCAGTGTGTTCAGAATTGCGCTGCATTTATTTTAACAAAGACCTGAAAATGTTCTCACATCTCTCCAGCTTCAGAATATCTTCACTGGTTACCATCAGAGCGAGAACTCATTTTAAAATTTGACTTTTGGTTGATAAATGTTTTCATGCCCAAGCTGCCGTATATTTGCAGGATCTTTTACTTCCCCAGATTCGTGCTACAGTTTCAGGTCTGGATCCTCAAATCTGCTGGTAGTTCCATGTTCGAAGTTCTGCCTCGTGAGCAACTGGGCTTTTACTGTATTGCGTCCACCATTATGAAATGATCTTCTGCGTCTCTGAGATGTTCTGGGTCTTTTTCTCTTTTTAAGAAGAACTTTCAGACCTTTCTTTTTAGACGTGTTTTGATGAATTCATTTTAAGAAGAATCTTTTAGCGATGTGTTCATTTTCTATAAAGTGCTTTGAGTTCATGCTGTCATGAAACTGTGTCATATAAATCAAATGTATAATTTTAGCTGAACAGTTTTACCACTTTGCGTTTTTTTCTGGCTAACAGAAGGCCTGACTGTTCCCTGACGTGTTTCAGGTCTGTGTACAGAGCTGTGTGCAGCAGTCCTGTCGGAGCTCCGGATGGAATCTGGAACGAGAGCGAGGACAGCGAGGGGCCCTGCAGCAACGTCTGAGACACACAGCTCCTCTCGTTTCAGCCAAACTGCTGAGCAGCACGAGAGCCACTCAAAACCTGGGAAAAATTCTGACTGCAGCATTTTCATCGGCTTCCTCCACCTGCCTTACTCAACCCAGCACCACCTCACAGCTTCAGGAACAACGTGGAAAAGTCCTGCGCTGTGAGGGACACTGGCCTGGACTCAGAACATCTGCCCAGTACAACACCAGCACGGTTCTGACCTCTTTACATATCAGGGTGGGTTTTTATACATCTGTTAGAAACAGAGACGGCAAGTTTCCCTCTCTGATCCTGAAACCTTCACGCCGCCGAGGCTTTTTAAGTGTCTTTTATCTCTGCATGTGTTTTAGTTTGTTGTTGATGGTTCCGGAGCTCAAGCCGCCCCTCGATACACTCCACAGACTTAGACTCACTGTTCTCGCCGTTATACGGTTCTCCTCCGTTAGTGTGAATTCCTGCACAGCTGCTTTGACAGATGTGTTTTAGTGAATCAGTTACTAGTTAACAGCTAGTAACTCCCTGTTCATTACCACTTTAGAATAAGACCACTGTTATAGAGGGTTTATAAATTGTTAATGGTGACTAATTGGGTCACTAAATCACTAATAAGCAGTTACAACACCTAAAGGGTCACAATTGATTTCGTTATAGTGAATCCTCATTCATCTACACTGTTAAACCTTTTTATTGATGTGTTATAACTGCAAATTAATGATTTTAAGACATTTATGACCTATGTTTACAAAAGGATTATAAATGGTTTTCTGACTTAATTAACTAGTTATTAATTAGGTCAGAAACACTTGAAAATCTTTAACAATTAACCAGATATAACAGCTTACTGTTGCCCTTTTTATTAATGTGTTATAACTGCATATTAATGATTTTAATGCATTTATGACCTATGTATATAAAAGGATTTTAAATGGTTAAAAATTAGGTTAGTAATGGTTAATAATTAGATCATAAACACGAAAATCTTTAGCAATTAATCAGATATAACGGTTCACTGTTGCCCTTTTCATTAATGTGTTA